AGTTTCACCGAACATGTCTATAATGTGTTTTGTGCGTTCTAGCTCCTCGACCGTAAGTCAAAATTCTTCAACCTTCAGATGTATGATCTAGATATTCCCACGCCACCCGACCGGCCAGCCACTGCAAGTCTTTTTGCATTAAAATTTTCGAAGGAACTGGAAGACTTGAGAAAGATTTTCGGCCCGCTGAATACGAATCAGCTCGAGGAAAAGGACATTACGAAGGTCCTCAGGATAGGGAACAGCCTTCAATTTCTACAGATAGATCTGTTCCCGCCAGCGGGGCTTCACGATCTGGTATACCTGATTGTAGGGAAGTTACCAAAGTTGCGGAGAGCGACCGAGATAGACTGTGGAGTGCTTGCCGCGCTCTGTCTCGCAGGCAGGGTGTCGCAGTGGTTGACGACCATACGACGCTTTTCCCACGTTACCTTCGGCATTCTGTGTGAGTTTGCGGCTCAATTTTGGGATTACAGTAAGATGTCGAATTGGACAGCCGCCATTTATGAGGCGGAAGTCAACGAGTTCCTAAGAACTCGACTGCAAGCGGCTGAAGCTGAGCTGAACACTTTGCAATCTGCCGTAGAGTATTTGCGAGCGACTGACCAGCTTCTAAACCCCGCCACTGGCCCCGAAGTTGCTGACGGCCAAAACCTTCCAGCGACCGCCGTTGACTTGAGAAGGTGAGCTGTTTTTTGAAAGTAGAGGACGGAAAACTGTCGACGGCTGTCGACCGATTCAGCCATCTGTTGACTGACGCAACGGTGATCTCGTCTCTCTATGGTCTAGGGAGCGTTGGACAAGGCTTGCGTTCTTGTCTTTCTGAACGGGGCCCAAGTTACCGATATACCGCCGCGCCGCAACAATTCCCCCGTTTTCTGCCTAATGCCTACGGACCTAGGTCATTCATGGCGGTCCGCATTGTTGGAAACCTAACCTGGCACGTGATCCTCTGAGAACTTTCCCGCCACCTTTGCTGGCTATCTGGACGGTGTTATGCCAATCGAACCATCGAATCGACCTTCGAGCCCTATCAACATATTCGGTACCGTGGCGAGTTGTGACGGCGTGGGAGAAAAGACGCGAGCAGCTTTCGATCTCGCATAAAATGGCCCTGAAAGAGATGCAAAAGACGCTATGGAATAATTCCGGATTTCATTGTGAGCGTCGATCCTGCAATGTTCTGCCATCAGGAGTGACTTGGATGGTCCGTGCTGTAGCGCCGTCAGGGGAGAGAACCGATGTTGGCTAGCTTTGGTAATAATACTGCGGTAGACGGGGTTTGGTGGCATCCGTACACATATTATGGATGGTTCGATTTTCTAAGTCGAGCTCAAACAAGTTAAGAGACAAAAGAAAGTCTCGCACCCTTCATACCGCGGATTGTTTCACGGAGGACCTGAACAACAGCCTTATTGCTACAGTGAGTACGTTACAATGAGGCAGTGCCGGAAACCCCGCTTAGCTAAGAGCGAATGACAATCCAGATTTAGCCTGCTGGGTGGATTTCTCTCGACGAACAGGTGGGTACAGTTCACCGACTGTTTGAAGTCGGGCTCTTATCTGAGAACGCCCTGGCCTTGAATTCGCGTCAGATCTCGACGCCACACTTCAGACCAACAACATCCGCGTCGTTAGACTCTCATCGGCCCCGTCTATGCGCCCGAACCCCCATGAGAATGGCCGAGGACGCATACAGGATCCGGACTCCTCTTACCCACTAACTATGGCCTCCACCGCCAACCTGGCTAGTGTTCATCCTCCTTTCCCCGATGCACACTTCACGCAAGAGTGTCGGTCGAACGGCCCCAGCTTCAACATCTCATCTCTGACGTAAATCGCCAGACACTTCGTTCTTTCTTGAGTAATTCCGCCGCCGGTCGACGGCCTTCCATGGCCCTCCCAGAGCAATAACGCCGATGAAGAAGATAAAGACGTTCGTACCTTCGCGACATCATTACACTTTGTGAGACTGGGGCTGGAGGAGAGCCCAACCCCTCTGATCTGGCCGTCAGCTGGTTGACCAGGATATACACGAGGCACGACTTGCTAGATGGAATCAGAAAGGAGAGAGAACAAGAAACAGCGAGTGGCATATTGGACGGTTCGTGGTGATGAAGTGGACGTTAACGATCCCTATGTGCAACCAGCAAGAGGACGACGCGGGTGTGAAGGAGCCGAACCCGCGCCGAGAAGTACGTACCGGTGCCAAGAATAGAACTCTGGAGAGAAAAATCACGTCTCATACAATCCCTAAGCGCTGACCGTGGTGGTTGCTCCCCTACAAAGGCTTTTCACAAGCCGTTCGAATCTCTACACAGTTGAAGAGCACCATCACCTCTCTGGTGATTGAAATGTGAATGGACGTAATCTTTCAGCACATACAACAACACGGTGGTGGCAGAACTGAAAGTCAATGTACGGTGTTCCAGCGAGCGAATTCGGCGCACATTTCCCTTTCGCCGCACGGCCTAATTCGGCGGACTCATCTCGTTACCCCGGTCCTCTGGAACGCATGAGCCAGTCTTCGATACAGGAGCGCTTCGCCTCGGTGCTGGCAGAAGTGAAGGACTTCCCCGGGACAGGGACGCTTGAAGTTTCACGGCAAGTAGCGCTTCTCAATTCTTCAAGAGAGTGCGAAATCCAACGAGGCCTTGGAGACGATCGAAAAATTCTGGAGAACCTCTAAAGCTTCTTGTACCGACCCAAAACTGGCTTCTCCCACCGGCTCAAAGATAAATTCTCGCACTGGCTTCAAAGCAACAAAGGTGTCTAGAGCCATAAAGAAACCAGGACGGCAGTCAAAGGTGCTCGAAGTAAAATTGTGGGCGGCGTACTGTAAGATCCCCGACAGGACTAGATTCGAAACAGTGACCGCCGGAGACAAACGTCACGGCGACAACTCCGCCAAGCACACTGTCGCACGCTCGATGGGAACATGCCCCGGGGGTGGCAACAGAGGGAATATCTCCCAGACCAAGTGCTCCTATGCGTCACGGCACAACCTTTCGGAGGCGCAAGCGAGTCGATACCACGACCCTACTCGTAGGGTTCGCCCCGAAGGACTCCCTGGTTGGATTTGAATTAATGACCTCAATTTATCAGCCATTTATAGTTATCTACAGTGTGACACGGGTAGGCAAGGGTTGTTCATCGGGAGGAAAAGTCAGAGTGCTGACGGAGACACAGTCGGATTGATGAGCCTCCACGACCCTTTTTTCCCACCCTCACAGATACGGCTACTTCCTAGACTGACCCAATGGCGGACGTGGGCCGGATAGCAGATGAGCGAGTTTGGGTGAGGGATCGGGTGATGGACGACGCTGACTACGCAATCACCTGTGTCTGGATAAAGGGAGAATCTCTACTACTGACAACTCCCGCCTTTCGGCTCTTAAGGTCCGCAAAAGCTATCCTAGGACGGGACTGAGGAATCACACAGCATGAACACGTGTTACGCTGGCTCTCGGACACCCTTCCCAAGCCATCGGTGTTGTGGATGCGCGGCATCCTAGGCGCAGGTGAGGAAGTCAGCACTCCATGTTCAATATCATCTGAACTGGCCAGGCAAAACGAGATTGGTGTCGATCGCCATTGAAGTCTGCCTACAACGACGGCGAGGCGAAACGGCTCACTCTTATTGGAGATCTAACGACATCAAGGATTTCATTTCTCTCGGTGCCGGAGGGTCTCCTCGCTCAACAAATATTTTGGTATCTGGGGCTCCGGTCTCGATTCAGGCGGACGGCGGTGTGATAATGGCTGCTCTGACCTGAACCACGAGCGAACCGCCAGGAATTTGTCCGAAGTCGTTTCTAAAGTGGACCAGCGCCAACACATCATCATGGACGGCTTGGGTGAATGCAAGCCAAAGTACTGGACCTCGATATTATCGTTTCTTGAATGTACGCGTCCTGGTTGTCAGCCGGGACAAGCTCCGGTATCAGGAAATTACTATCGTCGGCGGAACACTTCCCGATCAAGTGTGAGGACAACGGCGAGGACATATCTATGGTGATGCAAGCATGGACGGCCAAGATTCAGCGGAAGTTCTAACTCAATGACGATGCATTATCTCATTTAGTGCGACATCTATGTGATGATGCAGTGGGTATGGATGCCTTGTTGCTGTTATACCCGACCCGCTAACATCAAAAAGGTCGATTTCTGGACTCCCAGTCGGTTATGGAACATCGTCACCATCAACTCAGCCTTGAATTCCTTCGCGATGAACTTTAAACCGAACATGTGCCAAAGCAGTTGATAGAGAGTTCCATAGCCCTGTCAGGCATGGCTCCTTCCTGGCAGAAACAAGACGCACGACCCGGCTTGGTTTGCGACGGCACGGGACATACAACAAACGAACAGGTGGGAAACAACTACTTAGAACCATGATCTCAAGCATCATGAACGGGACCAGGTCCGTAGTGAAAGCGGACATGCAGTGGTGATCAGAACTAGTTCACGCAGGGGTCATTGGTCTTGAAAAGGATAATGTCTTAATTCACTCCTAGATAGCGGAGGTTTTAATGGGATTCTTTTCGTTGATCGTTTCTGCTTCGTGGCCATCGCCGGGAGTGTTCTGTCGAAATGACCACGCCTCCTTGACACCACCAGGCTACCGGATGACATGGCAACGTCAAGTCCCATGAGCATTCTGACCTCAGCAACCGAGGCAAGAACGATAGGGTCCTTGCGGGGTGTAGAGACTTCACCAGTGACTCTTTAGACTTTCTTCCCCCCCC